CAGCACCGCTGCTGCTCCTGGTGTTGCTGCTGCCGGTCCTGGAGGTTCAGGTCCGGCGCCGTGCCGAGCCTGTGGAACGGAGGACAGCAGCCATGGCGTGATCTTGTCCTGCCTGCGGTGCTTCATGCACGGGGGTGGGCTGTACAGATTTGATTACGGCGTGTCGGTGGGCGGATTTTGTCTGCAGATGCGAGGTGGCACATGCAGCATGGCGGTGTCTGATCCCCCGCATGCTGTTGTACAGAGGTATGGTCAAGTGTGCTAGTCACTGCAACAACAACTGAGACTGGGGTTGGCCGTTATTTCGTGCTGGACAACAACTGAGCAAGGGGTTGGCCGTTTTTGTATGCTTTACAACAACTGAGAGCGGTTGCTACCGATGTGCCCTCGTCTTGTCAGTAATTAACTTATTCGACTCCCACTTTCTCCTCTCCTGCAGAGCACGTCTGCTTTTGAGAGAGGGGTTTGGCCGCTATCACGTTCTCGACAACAACTGTGAGGACTTTGCTGTGTACTGCAAGACCCGAGCCCTGGTTCTCGACAAGACACGCGTGGGCACCAGTGGCCAGTCCGCTGCTTTCGTTGGGTTCAACTTCGCCTCTGCCACCGCTGCCATCCCCCTGGTGCTGGCAGGGCTCCTGGCGGCTGCTGCTGTTTTCGCAGGTGAGATGGGAGGCGATGGGACTTGCAAGGCTGAGTCAGGAAGGGTGGGAAGGAAGGTGTATCTTTAGCTGCTGTGCCTGACTGGGCGCCTTGCCCCTGCTTCTGTCTGATGGTGTCCTTGTTATGGCGGCTGCTGCGGTGTGCTGGGTGCAGCTAATTTTCCAGAATTCTCATAGAGCGGCTGCTGCTATGTGAGCAGGGTAGTACAGCCGCAGTCGAGTGGCTCTTAATCTCCTTGTGCAGCCTTCTCCTTTGTTTCTAATTGCCTTGTTTTTCTGGCTACTCCTGTGTATGCAGGGTCGTACAGCCTCAGTCGAGTGGCTCTGGACGTGGGGGTACGGAGGGATGTGGTGAAGGTGGAGGGGGAGGATCTAGTGGCGAGTCTCAAGGGTCATGGGGGGGAAGTGTGTGGGGATGGGTTCGGAGGAAGGATAGGGAAGGATGGGGCGGAGGCGGTGGTTGCGAGGATGAGAGGGGATTCAAAGGTGCGAGAGGAGGTATACCCCCAGTTGTTGTAGAGCGATCCTTTCTTGAGTTGTAATTGCCATGTATTCCTCATAAGCTACTACTTCAATTGCTCGCTATTCTTCTAGTCATTTGATTGTGTGTTTCTTTTTGTCATCTGAGGGTGTCAAATGCACTTTCACCCTTACAAGAGTGTGCTTAGATGGCGGAATCGAGAGATTGGGTGTGCCCTTATGAATAAGGGCGTTTTGTTGAATGTGGTGTACAGCCACTAGCAAAGTTGAGATTTGGAGGAGCTCGTGCCACGTATGTCTCGAGCTTTTCAGCTTTCGTGGCATCTCTAGGTCCCGCTGCCGAGTCAGATTCAGCAAACGCCATCGTCACCTCTGTGGTCCGTGGCACGACACGACGAACATTGACTGCATTCATAGGGCTAGCTTCTTGCCACGTGAACACTGCTCAAATTTTTCTGCTTACGGATACCCTGCCTAACAATCTCGCGGTAGCTGTTTTGGAAATGCATCGTATGCATTACAGATTATCGTATTCCGCGGCTGAAAGTCTGTGGAAAACGACTCCCGTCGAAAGTCGGTTACACTCGAATGAACAGTGTGTGGGCTTCACTCACGGTGAAGAAGTGTCGTTTACCATCTAACCCTTTAAATCGCAGGAGAATCGAGTAGCTGTTACGTATCGGGCTAAACAGCTCAGGGAAACTCAACGGGTCTTCCTCCAGGGGGTTCCAGTCCAATGCGTTCTTTCCATGTGCCGAACGAAGAACACAACCAAGCATTTGGTTTTCATCGTGTTGAACGATTTGGGCATTCACGCGTCTGTCATTTCATTTCACATCCTCCCGGCAGCCATTTCCCTCGCTCTCTGCGTGACCAATGGCTGCAGCCACCGGAATTCGCGGCGTGACCATCCCTTCGTCGTTGAAAAATCAGCGTGTGTCTCTCAGCGTGATGCATTCCCAAGGAATATGCCGCTCTGCTGATCGTCCATACACGAAATTGTTACGAGTGCGACAGATTTCGTCCATTCGTGCACGCTCGCAGGCTCCGTCGCATCAAGACGCCTCCGCGAGGGGAGGAGCTGATTTGAAACAAGAAGCAGCGAGGCTGGCCAAAGAATCCGCAAAATTCCTCGTCGCCACGTCCGCGAGCGTCGCCGTCGCCCTGTCGGCAGGTAACGCCTTCGTTAAAGCCCGCAGTCCGGATTGTCCAAAAAGGGGGGTTTGTTAAACACTTGAAGCGGTGTAGCGAACTTTTTACTCGGGGCACGGAGGTTGGCGAAAATGTTTTGGGGTTCGCTATCCAACCAAACTCCCCCCCCCCCACCCCCCCGTTCAACTGCGTAACTTTTGGACAATCCGGAACCAGGGCTTTAAACTAATTGTGAGACATTTCAGCTGAATGGTGGGTCCGAATGCGGACACGTGCGGACCCGTTGTGTGACCCCGTTGCCTAATAGCTCAGCATATCACCTCGTGGCCCGTCGATCCGTGGGGAACACTGTATGAGCAGCTATTGCTTTCACACGTCATACGTCTCCACGCGAGGGCGCGACCTTCCAGCAGACTCGCTTTTAAATTCCTCGAAAACATCAACTACAATCTGCAAGAGGGCTGTCTTACCTGCTGACGGGCGGCCGACATGATGTCACGGCGGTGGCATCGTCGCATTGTCACATTGTCACATTGTCGCACTGTCACATTGTCGCATCGTCGCATTATCGCATCGTCGCATTGTCGCATCGTGTGTCAAGGCGTGGCTTTCTCGTTTCTGTAAGCACCATCTTCACTCCCATCCCCCCACCCCTGCGATTCCTACAGGCCTCGGGATTGCCGAGGCAAGGCCAGAGGGGGTGAACAAGCCCGAGCTGCTGCCCAAGGAGTTCACGACCGTCATCGACGTCGCGGGGTTCCTCTCCCCCGGCCAGGTGAGACGGCTTGGTGCTGCTGACATGTCAGTGTAGTAGAGCACTCCCCAAGGTGTTCACGACCGTCATTGACTTTGCGGGGTTCCTGTCCCCCAGCCAGGTGAGACGGCTAGCCGTCCACATGAGTGCTGTTGATATGTGGGCACGGTACTGTGCTGACATTTCAGTGTAATAGAGCGCGCTCCAAGGAGTTCAGGACAGTCATTGGCGTCTCACATGTTCCTCTCTTCCGGCCAGGTGAGTGACTACACAGTGGCCGTATGGCAAGGGTGATTGGCGAAATAAAATCCGTGTATGCGAAGATGATAAGCTATCTTTCCAGTATTGATACCATTTAATAAATTCTGTATGCTAGATTATCAGTGATGTTCTGGCCCAACGGTGTGTGAAACTGATGTAACAATTGAAGGAATTTATCTTTTATGTTAAACTTTTCTATGTTAATATTCCTTCACTGTTAAACTTTCTCTGTCTAACTCTTCATTATCCCCCGTTTCCTCGTTCTCTCCCGTTTGGTGTTCCTCAACCTCTCCCAGGAGCAACGCTTGGCGAAGGATGTGGAGCGATTGGAGCAGGATACAGGTTATAAATTAAGGATACTGGCGCAGAACTACCCCAACACACCAGGTACATTTCTTTTTACCGTAACACTTCTGCATGAGGTTGGATGGAGCAGGTCACAGAGTTGAAATATAGGACACGTGTAGAATTATCTAAACACACAGGGTAAATTGCAAATCTACAGCATAGGAAAGAAATAACGCTTTCCCAAGATTTATGCTGGGAATTTTGCTACCATCGCTCTAAACTAAGTTGCTCTCGAGAACCGCTTTAATACCAGCCTCCCACTCACTTCGCAGTCTCTTTTTTCCCCCCTCCCTCTTCTGCTGTCAACCACTGCAGCGTTGGTCATCTGGGATTACCGGGGCGTTTTCTAGTTGACTCAAATCTTCCCTTTCCCTCCCCTGCTGTCGGCCACTGCAGGATTGGCCATCCGGGATTACTGGGGCGTGGATGATGAGACCGTCGTCTTCGTGGCTGACCCTAACATGGGTGAGTGCATCCCAACCGTTGATTTCACTTCATGCTCCCGAGATTGATGAGTTGGTGGCGGATCCCAACATGGGTGAGATCATTCTGAGTTGTTGATCAACGTGCCTGCAAGCACTGGCAGCACAAATTGACTGCTTGCACAATTGATCAACATGACAGCACCTACACTTCCGCCCTTAAAGCCAGCACCATCCATTCAACCTCCTTGTTCTCCAATTCCCCCCATCTCCATCCTTTTTCCAACCCTCTCTCCCTTGCGGAATCTCAGGTAACCTCCTCAACTTCAATGTTGGCTCAACCGTGGACCTGTCGGTTCCAAGAAGCTTCTGGAGCCGGCTAGCCGGCAAGTACGGCAATGTGTTCTACTGGAGGGAGAAGGGCGAAGATGTCGCCATAGAGGCGGCTGTGGTCGCCATTGATAACTGCCTCAGGGAGGACCCTGGGCCCAGGCAGTGCGCTGAGATCAAGTGATTGGGTCAATTGATGTACGGTTGCAATGTATTGCACTAGATTGCAGAAGTGACGCTATGCATTCTGTTTGGAGGGAGAAGGGCGAGGATGTGACGACAGAAACTGCTGTGATCGCAATCGACCACTGCCTAAGGGAGGACTCTGGCCTGGGTCCAGGCAGTGCGCTGAGATCAAGTAGTTTGGCGTGTGGAGGCTGTAATGCAGTCTTGCACTGTCTCGCACTCTTACACATGTACGGCAGTGTGTTTCTATGGTGGGGGAAGGGTGAGAATGTCACAATGAAGGTGTTGTGACAGCTTTGACAGTCATCACAGGGAGAATCGTGAATGAACCCAGGCAGAGTATCTGTATCAATTAGTCTGCAGTAATGTTTGCAGACTAAACATGACTGACTAGGTATTCACATGATACATAGCATAGCATAAATCACCAGATGCATTATCTGGATAAAATGGAATACCAAATTGCTAATTACTGCAATTCTTTGATGTCAACCACGTACCTTGGCTTGGCAAGTGCTCTCAACTTATCCATCTCGCCCACTTGCAAATCTACGGCAATCTCCTTGCGAGCACCACACCCGCACACCCGCATCCAGTATACTACCTCCCTTTGAGCGAAACAACTTGGGCAGAGCTCTTGCCTCGTTCATCTCTGCCATCTGCACCTGCAGCCTTCTCCTTCAGTCTCCCATTTAGTAGCGCACACTCCGTGCCATGCACATGCACTGCCTCCTCTGAACCTACACTGCCTCCTTTATTCCGAACACCTTGGCTAGACCTCTCGCCTTGTCCATCTCCTCCATCTGCACCAGCATTCGCTTGAGTTTCCTCGCCAGCATCACGCACTCCTCCCTCTGCCCCTCCACTGCGCTTCGACTCTCCACAGAGCGACCCAGCGTTTCAACATAAGCCACCAGCTGCGACAGCGGGGACCTGGGGCTGCAGGGGAGAAGGGAGGGTTTAGGGTTTGAGGTTTGACAAAAAAGAGTGTCGCGTTCAGGTTGACTAGTCCAAAAACACATGTGCTTGTAATTTAGAAATTCTCACCAGCAAAAGAACAGCAACAGCAGGCCCACATCATCTGATCCTGCTGCTAATGTTAAAGAATCAGGTTCTTATGGTATCTATATGGTGGTTACGGTCTGTTGAACCACATGCTCTCACCTGTTCCTAGGTTCCGCTGAGGGTGGCAAGGCGCTTCCGCTGCCCGTCCCCGCCCACTTGCCGTCGCACAGCACGCAAACGAGTCGCTCTGTACGGGGTACAGCGTCGTGCAGCGACGGGGTGAGGGTGCGTAGATGTGGCAGCAGCTGATTGGGCAGAAGCGAGCCCAGCACGAGCCGGTCCAGGAGTGGCTGAGACACCACCTCTCGTAATCTGTTGACACGGCACGGGGACGGAGGGGGGAGGGGGAGGGGGAGGAGTGGCGAAGGTGGAGGTGTTGTGGGAGGTTGCAGCCGTGAGACTGTATCCTACAGCCTGCTTTTGACAAATTTACCTGCCCTGGTTGCGAACGGGCCTGAACAAGCACCTGAGCGGGGCACTAAAGAGGAAAGCTAGAGGCCAATGAGACTACCTCAACCCTCACCTGCCCATGTTGTGGATGAGCCTCAAAGCCTGTCCGAATCTTTGAGCCGCGAACCGAGCAGCGGAGGGGCAGGCAGCCAGCACAGGGGGCGGCCACGCTGGGACCTGGGCGGGTGGGGAGTAAGGGGATGGGGTGCGGAACGGGGGGATGGGGAAAGCATGGGGAATGGGAAAAGATCGAATCACGTGAAACACAGTGATACAAGCAGCAAGCGCAGAAAGGGAGGGGCGGTTGGGGGGGATGCTGGTAGAACTTAGTTGTGATCAGCTGACAGGGAGAGGGGGGACGACAGGCAAACAAAAGAGCAACCCTGCAGCCTTCACCATCAACAGCCTTCACCATCGACAGCCTTTACCATCCACAGCCTTCACCATCGACAGCCTTCACCATCCACAGACTTTACCATTTCCACCACGGCAGGAGCCCTCGCCTCCACTTACACCAGCACCCGCCCCACAACTGCCAGACAACATTCCCGTTGTTTGCCCCAATCCAACATATGTAAGCCTTTTCAAAACATCAACTCACCTTGATCTCCCCGACACTCCCCTCCATCCGTCCCTTCACAGCCTTCACCATTTCCACCACAGCTGGCGCCCCCGCCTCCATGTACACCAGCACCTCCTCCACACCTGTCAGCACTGCCATACGTTAAGCTAGTCTTTGTCAGCTGCTCTGCAACCCAACAACTCACCGTCATCTCCCCAGCAGCAACTTCCATCCGTCCCTCCACTGCCTTCACCATTTCCACCACACCAGGAGCGCCCGCCTCCACATACACCAGCACGGCTTCTCACAGCTGCCAGACAGCAGTGCCTGCCGGTGTTCTATTTGCATACCTCAAACGTACCTTCATTTCTGCAACACTCCCCTCCATCCGTCCCTCAACCGCCTTCACCATTTCCACCACAGCTGGCGCCCCCGCCTCCACGTACACCAGCACCTCCTCGACAGCTGTCGCCGCGCGATTGGTCGCGGCGCGGTCCAGCGGGTCCCAACAGTGCTCCAGCGCGTGGTGGAGGATCGGCAGCCCGACCTTCTCCACGAGCCTCGGCACCAGGTTCGTGTCCGGGTCGTCTGGGGCAGGCTCGGACCCGTCAGTTGGGAGCCCGTAATCGAACAGAACCGAGTACCTATCAAATGGGGAAACAAGGCGAGGGAAAGTCAGGGGAAGGGGGGGACGAAGGGGGAGGAGGGGGGAGAGGGGAAGGGTAAGGAGTGGGGAGTGGGGAGTGGAGGGTGCTAGCTGCCCAGTCCAGGGGGTCCCAGCAGTGCTCCAGCTCGTGGTGGAGGGTCGGCAGCCCGACCTTCTCCCCGAGCCTCCGCACCAGGTTCGTGTCCGGGTCATCCCGGGCAGGCTCGGAACCGTCCGTCGGGAGACCATAGTCAAAGAGGACGGAGTACCTGAGTGTGGGAAAAGAAAGGAGGTTCACGATACCAAAACGGGTTTAAGGTGACTTATGTGACCATAACCAAGGGGGTTTTCGGGTTTAGAGGATGTAAGGTGATTTGGAGGCGGATCGCGAGTCAAGCAGGCTCCGAGCCATCTGTGGGGAGGTCAAATCAAAGTCAATGAGCCATCTGTGGGGAGGTCAAATCAAAGTCAACGAGCCATCTGTGGGGAGGTCAAATCAAAGTCAACGAGCCATCTGTGGGGAGGTCAAATCAAAGTCAACGAGCCATCTGTGGGGAGGTCAAATCAAAGTCAATGAGCCATCTGTGGGGAGATCAAATCAAAGTCAACGAGCCATCTGTGGGGAGATCAAATCAAAGTCAGCGAGGATGTGTAGGGAAGGTCAAAGTCAACGAGGATCTGTAGGGAGACCGTGGATCTGGCGGAGAAGCAAGGAGGGGTGGAGGAGCCGGGGGGAAAGAGGAGGGAGATTGGCCGGTGAGTTAAGAAAGAACGTGATGCATCCGTGTAGTCCTCACTGATAGAGGACGGATGGAGTACCTTGCTGATTCGCCTTGCAGTCAGTCAGACCTACCAGTGCATGGAGCTGGAGCTGCTCCTGCCCTATTTTCACCCTTACTGGAGCTGCTGCGATGGGACCCCCCAACCCCTTGCAAGGCGAATCAGCGTAGTCCTCACCGATTTGCCATGCAGCCAGATCTACGTACCAGTGCATGGAGTCGCATGCCCGTTCTTCAAATCAAACAGGGGCGGCAGCTGGTATGCCGGCATGGGCTAGCATGGGCTAGCATGGGCTAGCATGGGCTAGCATGGGCTAGCATGGGATAGCATGGGCTAGCATGGGCTTGCGTGGGGTTTATTTGTAGGCATTCACAAGGCTTGCAGTCAGACCAGACCCACCAGTGCATGGAGTCGAACGCTTGTCTGTCAAACAGGGGGTCCCATGGCAGCAGGTCCAGTAAGCGAGCAAAAAGGGCGGCAGCTGCCATGCTGCTGGCTAAGGCTTGCATGTGCTTGCGTGGGCTGGCATGGGCCCGCATAGGGATTATAGGCATTCACTAGGCTTGCACTCAGACCAGACCCACCAGTGCATGGAGTTGGTTGAAGGCACCAGCATCTTACTAGGGATCCCAGCGCGGCAGCTCCAGGCGCACAAAAAGGGAGCAAACAGCGCCGCGGGCTGAATTGTGCTCATGCAAACACGCTGCAAGGCTCAAAGCAACATTCCTCACTCTGCTTGAAGTGCAAACGCCTGCCCTGCAAGGCTCAAAGCTCAGCAGTGCATGGAGTCGAACATCCCTCCCTGGAACAAGGGGTCCCATGTGAGCAGCTCCAGGCGCACAGAGGGAGATGGCTGGGGCGGGGCTGATGTGTGTTCATGCTGGCACAAGTTAACTCACACCTCACCTCACCAGTGCACGTAGTGAAAGGCCCCACCCTCAAACAAGGGGTCCCATCTGAGCAGCTCCAGGCGCACAAAGGGAGCAAACAGAGCTGATGGTTGTTCCTGCCTCTCCTCCTCCCGTTTGTTCTTCAGAGTCTAACAAACCCAAGACCCACCAGTGCATGGAGTCGAATGCACCACCTCCAAACAAGGGGTCCCATCTGAGCAGCTCCAGGCGCACAAAGGGAGCAAAGAGCGCCAGGGCTGATATGCTGGCATAGGCATGCATAGACTTGCGTACATGCATGGTTGGCAGTCAGACCCACCGCAATCAGACCCACCAGTGCATGGAGTCGAACGCACCACCTCCAAACAGCGGGTCCCATCTGAGCAGCTCCAGGCGCACAAAGGGAGCAAACAGAGCTGGCGCTGACATGCTGGCATAGGCGTCCCGGTAGGCCGCTGGGTGCTGCTGCTTCCACCCCTCCATGCGCTGCTTGACCTTCTCTATCTTCGAATAGTCCTCCGCTGCATCGCCAAATATGGCATCTGCGAGATAGCATGTGCAGGGGAAACAACACGGGAGAAGGAAGGGGCTGAGAGGCTGGCATAGGTGCCCCGATGCAGTGATGGGTGGTGCTGCTTCCACCCCTAATGTGCTGCGTGACTCGCTCTATTCTGCTGTAGTCCTCCGCTGCATCCCAGAATATGGCGTCCCGGAGAAGGAGGTACGGAGAGGGGGACGGGAGGGAGGGAAAGGGGAGGGTGATGGATGACGCAAGTGGATCATCAGCAGCAGGGGCATCATGCTCATGCCACGGACAAACAACCTGGCAGCAGCAGCTGTGAGATTTTTTTTGAGTCGGCTTAAAAGTGGATCATCAGCACGGGCATCATGCTCATGCCATGGACGAGCTGACTTTTGAGGCACCCCAAAACGATGACGCAAGTGGATGATCATCAGCATGGCCCGTGCTGCCACGTGCTGCTCAGCAGCAGCAGCTGTGAGAAACTGACGTTGATGTCGCGTTCTGTGTGTAGCTGCAGCACCTGAGACAAGAACGTTAAGGCTCACCAGCAGCAGTGAGTATCTCCCGCCTGCCCGAGTCATACGCACTCCGCTCATCCTCACTCTCCTCGCTGCTCCACTCCCCCTCCACCCTCCCTCCTCCTCCCCCTCCTCCTCCACCTCCTGCGCTCCCCCCTTCTCCGCGCCCAGCCCTCCTCGCCTCGGCCTTAGCTTGTCGCCTCTCCCTCGCTGCTATCCGCCGCTTGAACTCCAGACTGGAGAACAGCGGCGAGGGAATGCGAGGTGTAAGGGAGGGGGACGGGGGGCAGGTGAATGAATGGAAGAAGGGGCCTTGCTCTCCCTCGCTGCCATCCGCTGCTTGAACTCCAGACAGAGAGCGGTTCAGAAGTGAGCGAGTATGGGGTGCAAAAGAGGGAGGGTGGTGGGCAACAGAGGGGGACAGGGGGCATGCGAATGCATGGAAGAAGAGGCCCTGCGGTATCCGCGGAAGGGACGGTGACGGAGGGAGGGGGATGAAAGACGAGGGAGGAGGATGGGAGAATGGCAGGAGGGGGATGTGGGAATGGCGGGAGGGGGATGCGGGATGGAGGCAGGAAAATGGGCATGGCACAACAAGGTGGGTGGGAGGTAAAAAAACACACACTGCACACCATCATGCACCCCATCATGCACCCCATCATGCGCCACCCACCCAGCACTCACCAGGCACCACTCACCAGGCACCACTCACCAGGCAGCACTCACCCACCCACCCTCATGAACCCACCACGCCTCCGCTACTCGCACAAACGGCCACTTCCACCCTCCCTTGGCTCATCAGATTTTCCACCCTGTGTCAGCTCCTCCCCACCCCATGGATTCACCACTCGCATACCCACAGCACTATCACAGCTTCTGCAGGTTCACACCTCTTCCAAACTCATCCAGCTGCACTCTCCCTCGCCCCTCCCCTTCCCTCCCCTCCCCTTCCCCCACCGCAGCCACCACTGCAACCCCCACCTCAGCCACCACTGCAACCAGCACCTCAGCCACCACTGGGCTCAAATCGCAACTCACGCACCACTCCCCACCCACGCTCACCTTATACTCCCCACGCTCACCTTATACTCCCCCCCACGCTCACATATTACTCCCCACGCTCACCTTATACTCCCCACGCTCACCTTATACTCCCCCCCACGCTCACCTTATACTCCCCACGCTCACCTTATACTCCCCACGCTCACCTTATACTCCCCACGCTCACCTTATACTCCCCACGCTCACTTTATACTCCCCACGCTCACCTTATACTCCCCACGCTCACCTTATACTCCCCACGCTCACCTTATACTCCCCACGCTCACCTTATACTCCCCACGCTCACCTTATACTCCCCACGCTCACCGTTTCTGCAGGTTCACATCACGCCCAAACTCATCCAGCTGAACCCCCCTGCCCCCTCCCCTCCCCCTTCCACCACCGCTTCCACCGCCGCTGCCGCCGCTGCAGCTGCTGTCACCGTCCCGGCGCCCTGCGCCATTGCCACTGCTGCTGCTGACGTGGCAGCCTCCGCTTGCGCCAGCTCATCCGCCAGGTCAGCGCGGCGCCGGTCGAACGCTGCATTGGCACGCTCCTCCTGCAGCTGCTGCAGCGACTCCTCCAGCTCCTCTACTAGGGCCGCCTTGTCCTGATGTGGGGAGGAGGAAAGGGAGGGAGGAGGGGGAAGAGGATATATGTGTGTGGGACATGCCACATCCTGCAGCTGCTGCAGCGACTCCTCCAGCTCCTCTATCAGAGCCGCCTTGTTCTGATGTGAAAAGAGGGAGGGGGGAAGAGGGGGGTGGGGGGTTTGAGGGGGTGAGCGAGGGGTGCAGTAGATGTGGTTGTGTTGGTTTTCAGGGACTCCAGCAGCCTCGATTGCCGCACTTTCTAGCGCGCACACCACCCAGCTTCCCTGTACCCTCCTATGAGGTGCTACTGTGCACTTACCTTGAGGAAGTCACAGAGCACGGCCACGTACTGCCTCAAGTCCTGCACGAATCGGCACTTGCTCTCCACTTATGTGAGGCGCTACTGTGCAGTGCCACTCTGCACTTACCTTGAGGAAGTCACAGAGAACGGCCACGTACTGCCTCAAGTCCTGCACGAATCGGCACTTGCTCTCCACTTATGTGAGGCGCTACTGTGCAGTGCCACTCTGCACTTACCTTGAGGAAGTCACAGAGAACGGCCACGTACTGCCTCAAGTCCTGCACGAATCGGCACTTGCTCTCCACTTATGTGAGGCGCTACTGTGCAGTGCCACTCTGCACTTACCTTGAGGAAGTCACAGAGAACGGCCACGTACTGCCTCAAGTCCTGCACGAATCGGCACTTGCTCTCCACTTATGTGAGGCGCTACTGTGCAGTGCCACTCTGCACTTACCTTGAGGAAGTCACAGAGAACGGCCACGTACTGCCTCAAGTCCTGCACGAATCGGCACTTGCTCTCCACTTATGTGAGGCGCTACTGTGCAGTGCCACTCTGCACTTACCTTGAGGAAGTCACAGAGAACGGCCACGTACTGCCTCAAGTCCTGCACGAATCGGCACTTGCTCTCCACTTATGTGAGGCGCTACTGTGCAGTGCCACTCTGCACTTACCTTGAGGAAGTCACAGAGCACGGCCACGTACTGCCTCAAGTCCTGCACGAATCGGCACTTGCTCTCCACTTATGTGAGGCGCTACTGTGCAGTGCCACTCTGCACTTACCTTGAGGAAGTCACAGAGAACGGCCACGTACTGCCTCAAGTCCTGCACGAATCGGCACTTGCTCTCCACTTATGTGAGGCGCTACTGTGCAGTGCCACTCTGCACTTACCTTGAGGAAGTCACAGAGAACGGCCACGTACTGCCTCAAGTCCTGCACGAATCGGCACTTGCTCTCCACTTATGTGAGGCGCTACTGTGCAGTGCCACTCTGCACTTACCTTGAGGAAGTCACAGAGCACGGCCACGTACTGCCTCAAGTCCTGCACGAATCGGCACTTGCTCTCCACTTATGTGAGGCGCTACTGTGCAGTGCCACTCTGCACTTACCTTGAGGAAGTCACAGAGAACGGCCACGTACTGCCTCAAGTCCTGCACGAATCGGCACTTGCTCTCCACTTATGTGAGGCGCTACTGTGCAGTGCCACTCTGCACTTACCTTGAGGAAGTCACAGAGAACGGCCACGTACTGCCTCAAGTCCTGCACGAATCGGCACTTGCTCTCCACTTATGTGAGGCGCTACTGTGCAGTGCCACTCTGCACTTACCTTGAGGAAGTCACAGAGCACGGCCACGTACTGCCTCAAGTCCTGCACGAATCGGTACTTGCTCTCAGCGCCCTTCATCGCCTTCTCCAGTCCTAGCACCTCCTCTGCTGCCGCCACCAGCCGATCCTCTGCATCCCGAGCCTCCCGCTCAGCCTTGGACTGCGAGGCCTGGGAGGATGAGACGTGAGGGGTGTGTGAAGCCGCATGGGGGTAACAAGAGTGAGGATTTCGGGAGAAGAAGAGAGAGGAACGGAGAAGAGCGGTGGACATTGGTGCAGGATGGTGTGTTCAGCAGAGTGATGACATGTTCGATTGGTATAAAGGAGGTATAAAGCCTCCTTTGAGCGGAGTCAAAGCAAAGCGTGGGAGTTCCCCTTGGCAGCCGATGGCAATCCATTCCAGTGGTTGCCCATTCCAGAAAGGACGGCAATCCAGAATCGGGAAGCGAGGGATGAAAGCTGATGTTGAAAGCCAGTAGAAACTTAACATACGCTTTCACATCTCGCCATTCCAGACTGCCCTCCTCTCCCCCCTTATCTGTCCTAACCCCCTTACTCTGCCCTCTCCCCCCTACCCTGTCCTCTCCCCCCTACCCTGTCCTCTCCCCCATACCCTGTCCTCTCCCCCCTACCCTGTCCTCTCCCCCCTACCCTGTCCTCTCCACCCTACCCTGTCCTCTCCCCCCTACCCTATCCTCTCCCCCCTTCCCTGTCCTCGCCCCCCCTACCCTGTTCGCTCCCCCCTCGCCCTTCCTTACCTTCAGCCTCCCACGCTCTGCCATTCCCCCTCTCTTCCCCCCTCCTATCACACCACCTTCTTTCCTCGCCAGCCACACCCTTGAAAAAGCACATTCGTTACGCATATTCGTGACGAGCACACTTGTTAAGAGCATATTCGTTGGAAGCACATACCTGCAGTCTTGCCAGGCCCTCTCTCAAAAACTTCATCACTTCGTCCCCTTCCGCCACAATAGACCCCGCCCCAACCATTCCCCCTGCCCCCCCCACTGGCCCCCCGTACCCCCAGGCGCCCCTCATCCCCCCAGAAAACACATCCTCTGCACTCCGCCCCCCACCTTTCCCCCTTGCCCCCTTTCCACCAACCCCCGCCCCATCTGCTCCCCCTGCTTTTCCCATGGCTCCCCCTTCCTTCCCCCCTGTAGCTCCTCGCAGGGCTACCATCCGACCCACCCCTTTCCTGAGTTGCTCCTCTTCCCACCTCGCCTCCTCCTCATCCTCCTCCTCGTTCCCCTTCTCCTCCTCCTCGTCCGCTTCCTCCCCTCCCATCCCCTGCCCTCTCCCCTCCCCGTTAACCCCCCCACCCCCATCCGCCGCTTTCACCCTTCCCCCTCGCCCTCCTCTCTCCCTTCCTCTCCCTTTCACCCCTTCCAACACCCCCCCGAACGCCACTCTCCCCCCCAACGCCTCCTCCTCATCCTCGCTCGACTGCTCCCCCTTCCCCTTTCCCCCCTCCCCCTCCTCCGCCCCCATCTCATCATCCACCCCCCTCATCATGCTCCCCGCCCCTGCCATGTCAGACCTATCACTCCCTGGAAGCGGAATAAAATCCGGAGCTGCTTTGGCCTGCCTTAATCTCTCCCTCTTTGCTTTTGCCGCTGCTATAGCAGCAGCATCGGGGATAAACGTGCCGCCGATGTAACTCCCTCCCCCCTTTCTTAATCCTGCTCCTAAACCTCCTCCCAAGCCTCCTCCCAAGCCTCCCATTCCTGCTGCGGCACCTGCAGCACCTGCCGAACCTGCTGCTCCCGAACCACTAGTTCCAGCCTCAGCTTCGGCGGTGGCCGAGCCTGCAGGCTTGAGCGACCCCCGAAGCACGATGAGAGGCTCGGAGAGGGAGGGCGGGGTGACGGTAGAGGAAGGGGCCGCGGCGGCTGAGAGGGCTGCGCCTGCTGTAGCTGAGGAGGCGGAGGGGGGAGGGGGAGTGCGCCTAGAGGCGGACGAAGGCGCTGCAATGCGCATTGTGTTGCGCTGGGGGAGGTGGTTGGGGAAGAAAGGCGGAAAGAAGGAGGTGAAGGGGGAGAGAAAATGGGGAGGTGGGGGAAGAGGAGAAAAGACGAAAATGACGTCAATTAGATGGTATAAAACAGGACATAACCTGGAAAAAAAGAGCAACAACAGCTAACACGAGAGTCCAGTGCACATACCGCCAGTTCAGCGAGCTTCTCTTTAGTGTACTCCCCCGACTGCGGCACCACGTTCAACGCTCCGCCAGCAGCGGACGGCCCCCCCCCCACCACCCCGCCGCCCTTGCCCCCCTCCCTCTTTTCCTCCCTGCCTTTCCTGTCTTCCCGGCCTTTTTTATCTCTACTTAATTTGTGCCCATCCCCGTGCCCCGTGCCAAACCCTGCCGATCTAGATTTCGACTTGGATTCCGGTTTGGGTTTGGTTTTCGATCGCCCGCCGATCGCCATGCCGAACGGCCCGCCGTCGTCTCCCTCCCCATCCTCGTCGGCTTCAAAGCTCAGCAGGCTCGCCGGGGCGGCTTTAGGTTTCTCCTTAGCCTTTTCAGCGCGGAATTTGGCAGCCGACGCGGGTTTCGCAGCGGTGGTTCCGCCATTTTGCGCATCGCCGTCGCCGCCGCCGTCGTCGCCGTCGTCGTCCTGCCTGCGACGGAAATTCTTCTTCTTAAACATCGCCGAGACGCTGATCGGGATACCTTACGGCTATTTCTGAGGCGCCTGAAGAACCGTAATCGATATCTTTCTAAGTCATCGTCAAGGATATCTAAACGTTAAAGGTGAATAATCGACGTGATGCTGATCGACGTGCTACTAATCGACACGATGCTGATCGCTATCACGGCCGCCGAACTTGCTGATCAACGTTCAGGTCGCTCGCTGCTGACCAAATAAATCACCGGGTTACCAAACTGCCGCCTAGTCGACGCGAACGCGACGTAATGCGTCTGTACCGTACGACGCTCTGGGAACATCTACTAGATAAGGAGGTATGGGATATCTCCAAGACAACGCTGCAAGATCGCGGGGGAGGCAGCAGCTGAAGCGGAGGCTGAGATAATCTGAATGTGCTTAGGGCGTGTCCAGCGCGTACGTTTTCTGTACAAAAATCACGGTTCAGTAGGATAAATCACGGTCAGAAGCGGTTTTCGCACATCACCACGTTGGACCATCGAGCACCACATTGAACCGTATTGAGTGAATTGTAAACGTACGTGCTGGACACACCCTAGGGGCGTGGTACATACGGTCACGAACGGAGTATGGTTCGAACGGTAAGAACGGTAAAGTAAATTTGAGAACGGTTCTGGAGTGCTTTAGTTAAAAATCGGGTGGTACAGTACGGTCGAGTCGCATGATTGGAAAGTCATCGTATGTACCACGCCCTTATGAATGAGAAACCAAGGGCCTGTCCCAAACTTCTGTTTCGACCAATACCCCACCTAACCGTTGTTTAACAAATTCGAACGCTCTGGAACGTGAAACACCTTCTTGGACCGCAAACGCACGTAAGTTGAGAAAGTTATAGATCTGCGTGGATAGTGCAGGAAGGTGTATAAGTGAACACAGTGATGTGGCATCAGGGTACCGAAGCGAAACGCTTGCACCGGTCCGTTATGTGGATGTCTGCGTGAGACAAACCCATGATTCACCCCGCGCAATCGGAGGATTCGGCTGGGGGAGCTCTGCTGTGCTGTCGAATGTGCCACCCGCGCTACAGCAGCAGACCCACTGTCTAGAAGGCAGACTTCTCGTCCTCGGCGCGTGTTACGCGGTAGCCATTCCTCAGAGATTCCGTGCTTCCACCATCACAGCCTCCGTCTCGGTCTTCGCTTTGCCTGGTTAGCGTTTTCCGTTTCTTAAGCCCTCGCATTTCTTGTCAAGGCACGGCGAAAGGGAAGCACGGATACTGAATCCCCTACCTCAGACCTCGAGAGTACCGGCATCATGCAACTAGGAGGAGCCGCTCCACGTTATCATCATCTGACCAACAGCCATATCCTCGCTATAAGCCCAACAGCTGCAGAGCTCTCCGCCTCCTTCCCGTCGCAACCATTCATAAATGCCTCATCCTTTCCGCCGCATATCGGGATTTCACATAATAGCTGCATAACGCGCTTCAGGCGACAGCCACGCGACGGCAAGCGACTGCCGGAAAACCTTCTGCGACAATCTAACGACCTCAGGCAGCATTCGCTAGAAGATCGTCGTCGATTCGCTCTAAGCAGCCAGCGCCTTCTTTCGGCTCTTCGTCGTTCTCGCAGCTCTCCTGACGCCGTTTCAGCAGCCGCTGCTTCCTTCGCTGAGACAGACGCTGGCTTTAAGGAGGGTTCCTCCCCAGTGAAGTTCGCGGGAAGGCCCCTCTTGAGAGATGCCATCATTGTGGGCGGCGGGATTGCCGGTCTGACGGCAGCCATTGCTCTTCGCCAGCAGGGAGTTGACGTCCAGGTGAGTGTCAGACTGACTGCCCGGTAGTTTAACTTCTAGACGGTTTGACGGCCGGGCGATTTTGGTAGCAAGCCAATCCGATGGCAACTTCCCTCCTCACCTGGTGCCTTGCAGCGTTGCTCTCTGTGCCAGGTATACAGAGGTTGTATAGACAGGTCTAAGATTCCAATGTCCCCCTCCATGCCAGGTGTATATAGAGGGCATTTCGAGAGGTCTATAGTTCCAGTGTTCCCTCCATGGCAGGTGTATGAGAGGGCGGAAGGGCGCGATCCAGAGAGGGTGGGGCGCATGGTGGGCGTTCAGCCCAACGGCCTGGCGGCGCTGGCATGCATCGATCGAGCCATTGCTGACGCTGTAAGGCCCGTCAAAAGGCTTCGGAAAACGATGCCTTCATGCCCACTGTAAGACTCGGACAATAATGATGCACGGTACAGCCCTTTCATATAAAAAGCGTTGGTAGAATTAGAATGTAAAGCTGACATGATCTCCAGTGTTCTTTTAGATCATGTGAAGGTCAGGTGACTTTCAGTTCCCTTGTGCATCCCTCCATTTCCCATTCACGCCGCCATACCTCATCCCGCCATGCCACCATACCTCATCCCGCCATGCCACCATACCTCATCCCGCCATGCCACCATACCTCATCCCGCCATGCCGCACCCCACCGTCTATCATCCTTTCATACCTCATGCTGCCGTGCCTCATATTTCCATACCTGCTCTCCCGCACACCTTCTCCTGCCCGTCTCTCCCCGACCCTTCTCCTGCCCGTCTCTCCCCCACCCTTCTCCTGCCCGTCTCTCCCCCACCCTTCTCCTGCCCGTCTCTCCCCCACCCTTCTCCTGCCCGTCTCTCCCCCACCCTTCTCCTGCCCGTCTCTCCCCCACCCTTCTCCTGCCCGTCTCTCCCCCACCCTTCTCCTCCCCGTCTCTCCCCCACCCTTCTCCTGCCCGTCTCTCCCCCACCCTTCTCCTCCCCGTCTCTCCCCCACCCTTCTCCTGCCCGTCTCTCCCCCACCCTTCTCCTCCCCGTCTCTCCCCCACCCTTCTCCTGCCCGCCTCTCCCACCCCCCCAGCTCTCGTCTCGAGGGGCGCATGTGCCCAGCCTGTGCCTGCTCTCCCCACCCCATCATGCCGAGCCACCTGCTTCTGGAATCCACCGCCTCCTCCCTCAGTCGGCCGCTGCTGTTGTTTTGAGTTCACTCCCAACACACCTGCTCTTCTTCTGCGCTGCTTTCTCCCCCACCCTTCTCCTGCCCGTACCTCCCTCCCATCCCCCCAGCTGTCGTCTCGAGGGGCGCATGTGCCCAGCCTGTGCCTGGTCTCGCCGTCAGGCGACCTGCTGCTAGAGTCCACCGCCCCTGCAGACGGCCGCCTCTCCATCCGCTGGGGGCTCGTTCTGGACGTCCTCTTGAGCTTCCTGCCAGATAGCTGCGTGCACCAGGGGTGCGAATTCACAGGGCAGGTCCAGCAGGTGGGTACTGGGCCGACTCAAGGATGCTGCATGGGCTTGTGAGCGTCCTGCCAGATAGCTGCGTGCACCAGGGGTGCGAATTCACGGCAGGTCCAGCAGGTGGGTCTTGAGTCGCATAGAGAATGCTGCAGGTGCTGCTCCCGAGCATCCTGCCAAATAGGTGCGTGCAGCAAGGGTGCGAATTAGCAGGGCTAGCTGCACTGGCGGGCGTCAGTCACATCACAAGTGCTGCATGCGCTGCTGTCCTCAGCGTGCTGCCGGACAGCTGTGTGCTCCTGACCGTGCTGCCGGACAGCTGTGCGCTCCTGACCGTGCTGCCAGACAGCAGCGAGGGTGCGAATTAGCAGGGCTAGTTGCACTGGCTTATGTCACAACAATACAGCTGTTCGTTACTAACCATGCTGCCAGTATGGTGCGTGAATGCTGAGAGTCACAGTCACTACCTGGGCAAGGTATTCCTTTTTTAGCGCTGCCCGTCAAGTCAGCTAGACGCCTGCAAGGCATCCCTTCTGTCTATACTTCCTCCTCCATCTCTTCTCTTCCCCCACTCCCTCCGCCCCCTTCCGCCTTGCTGCTGCCCTTTTGCCTGTTAATCCCCTCTCTGTCCCTCGCTGTCCCTCTCTGTTCACTTGTGCCTCGTTTTCTACCGTTGATTCTCCCTGTGCTCACTCATGTCAGGCCAACGGGCGGGTGATGGCGCATTTCACTCGCCACGGGCAGCCTTTCACTGCAGAGGTGGGGGGAAAAGGTGGTCACATGAGCGACACGTTACTTGCAGTAAAGGTGGAACAGCCGCATGCAGTCAGCTCCTATAATTCGTCGCCATTCATGGTCGGATGGGCAGTACTAAAAAATTTGCCCGCGCAAGGAAGTGCGAACTTGAGAAGAACTACCCCTGCAAAAGTAAATCGAGTGCAGAACTGTTTCACTCAAAGAAACCAAGTCGCATTTAGTTAGGCCTCGCACGGTGGATCGGGCACGTGCAGTGCAGTGCAGGAAAGGTGAGGGAAAATGGTGAGGGCGTGCATGAGGAGGGCATGCAAAATTGAATCCAGTGAAGTTGATGGATGAGAGGCAATGGGAAAACTTGGCTTGGCTTACAAGGGGTAGTGGTGGGTGAAAGGGTTATACTGGCCTGCTTCAAAAGTGGGTTTCATCTTCATGCCCTCAAGCCACCTCTTCCCACTCCTCCGTCGAAACGGACTCACTGGACCGCTCTCCTCAGGCGAAGCGAAGCATTTTCTCCACCTCTTGCTTTTCTCCCCCTTTTCATCCTTCCCCAAGGTGCTGCAGGGCGATTTCTTGAGAGCCTTGGGGAGGAAGTGCGATTTTTTTAGCTTTAAGTAAGGAGGAAGTGCTATTTTGTCAGCTTTGAGTAAAGAGGAAGTCTTATTTTGTTAGCCTTGAGTAAGGAGGAAGTGTGTTTTTTTTCTAGGCGATTCAAAGTGCGACTGCTCCTTGTCCTCCCCTTATGTGCTGCAGGCGGATCTGCTGATTGGCACGGACGGGGTGCGGTCGGCGGTGCGGCAGCATGTGCTGCGGGAGGGGGAGGAGAGGGAGAGGTGGGGCGCACCCAGGGATAGCGGCCGCACCATGTGGCTGGGTGCTGCCCCCAGGGAAACTGTGGCCTTCCAGGTCAGTCGGTTCTGAGGTGCCTCAAGAGTGGAGCTTTGAGGCGCCTCATTATTACAGCCGGAGGAGGAGACCTTTCCTTCCTCTCAAGAGGGACCACCTGAGAGTGGGCGGCACGCAGGAATAACGGCCGCACCATGTGGCTGGGCGCTGCCCCCAGGGGAACTGTGACCTTCCAGGTGTTATCCTGACCCGTATGCACAGCAAGGTTGCATGCATTATTTTCCTATGCGCAATGTTACATGCATGATTTGCCTATGCACAGAATGTTACATGCGTGATTTGCCTATGCACAGAATGTTACATGCGTGATTTGCCTATGCACAGCATGTTACATGCGTGATTTTCTTATGCACAGAATGTTACATGCGTGATTTGCCTATGCACAGCATGTTACATGCGTGATTTTCTTATGCACAGAATGTTACATGCGCGATTTGCCTATGCACAGCATGCTACATCCGTGATTTTCCTATGCACAGAATTTTACATGCGTGATTTGCCTATGCACAGCACGTTACATGCGTGATTTGCCTATGCACAGCATGTTACATGCGTGATTTGCCTATGCACAGCATGTTACATGCGTGATTTGCCTATGCACAGCATGTTACATGCGTGATTTTCTTATGCACAGAATGTTACATGCGCGATTTGCCTATGCACAGCATGTTACATGCGTGATTTTCCTATGAACAGAATGTTACATGCGTGATTTGCCTATGCACAGCATGTTACATGCGTGATTTTCTTATGCACAGAATGTTACATGCGCGATTTGCCTATGCACAGCATGTTACATGCGTGATTTTCCTATGCACAGAATTTTACATGCGTGATTTGCCTATGCACAGCACGTTACATGCGTGATTTGCCTATGCACAGCATGTTACATGCGTGATTTGCCTATGCACAGCATGTTACATGCGTGATTTTCTTATGCACAGAATGTTACATGCGCGATTTGCCTATGCACAGCATGTTACATGCGTGATTTTCCTATGCACAGAATGTTACATGCGTGATTTGCCTATGCACAGCATGTTACATGCGTGATTTTCTTATGCACAGAATGTTACATGCGCGATTTGCCTATGCACAGCATGCTACATCCGTGATTTTCCTATGCACAGAATTTTACATGCGTGATTTGCCTATGCACAGCACGTTACATGCGTGATTTGCCTATGCACAGCATGTTACATGCGTGATTTGCCTATGCACAGCATGTTACATGCGTGATTTGCCTATGCACAGAATGTTACATGCGCGATTTGCCTATGCACAGCATGTTACATGCGTGATTTTCCTATGCACAGAATGTTACATGCGTGATTTGCCTATGCACAGCATGTTACATGTGTGATTTTCTTATGCACAGAATGTTACATGCGCGATTTGCCTATGCACAGCATGTTACATGCGTGATTTTCCTATGAACAGAATGTTACATGCGTGATTTGCCTATGCACAGCATGTTACATGCGTGATTTTCTTATGCACAGAATGTTACATGCGCGATTTGCCTATGCACAGCATGTTACATGCGTGATTTTCCTATGCACAGAATTTTACATGCGTGATTTGCCTATGCACAGCACGTTACATGCGTGATTTGCCTATGCACAGCATGTTACATGCGTGATTTGCCTATGCACAGAATGTTACATGCGTGATTTGCCTATGCACAGCATGTTACATGCGTGATTTTCTTATGCACAGAATGTTACATGCGTGATTTGCCTATGCACAGCATGTTACATGCGTGATTTTCTTATGCACAGAATGTTACATGCGCGATTTGCCTATGCACAGCATGCTACATCCGTGATTTTCCTATGCACAGAATTTTACATGCGTGATTTGCCTATGCACAGCACGTTACATGCGTGATTTGCCTATGCACAGCATGTTACATGCGTGATTTGCCTATGCACAGCATGTTACATGCGTGATTTGCCTATGCACAGCATGTTACATGCGTGATTTTCTTATGCACAGAATGTTACATGCGCGATTTGCCTATGCACAGCATGTTACATGCGTGATTTTCCTATGAACAGAATGTTACATGCGTGATTTGCCTATGCACAGCATGTTACATGCGTGATTTTCTTATGCACAGAATGTTACATGCGCGATTTGCCTATGCACAGCATGTTACATGCGTGATTTTCCTATGCACAGAATTTTACATGCGTGATTTGCCTATGCACAGCACGTTACATGCGTGATTTGCCTATGCACAGCATGTTACATGCGTGATTTGCCTATGCACAGAATGTTACATGCGTGATTTGCCTATGCGCAGCATGTTACATGCGTGATTTTCTTATGCACAGAATGTTACATGCGTGATTTGCCTATGCACAGCATGTTACATGCGTGATTTTCTTATGTACAGAATGTTACATGCGCGATTTGCCTATGCACAGCATGTTACATGCGTGATTTTCCTATGCACAGAATTTTACATGCGTGATTTGCCTATGCACAGCACGTTACATGCGTGATTTGCCTATGCACAGCATGTTACATGCGTGATTTGCCTATGCACAGCATGTTACATGCGTGATTTGCCTATGCACAGCACGTTACATGCGTGATTTGCCTATGCACAGCATGTTACATGCGTGATTTGCCTATGCACAGCATGGTACATGCGTGATTTTCTTATGCACAGAATGTTACATGCGCGATTTGCCTATGCACAGCATGTTACATGCGTGATTTTCCTATGCACAGAATTTTACATGCGTGATTTGCCTATGCACAGCATGTTACATGCGTGATTTGCCTATGCACAGCATGTTACATGCATGATTTGCCTATGCACAGCATGTTACATGCGTGATTTTCTTATGCACAGCATGTTACATGCGTGATTTTCCTATGCACAGAATTTTACATGCGTGATTTGCCTATGCACAGCACGTTACATGCGTGATTTGCCTATGCACAGCATGTTACATGCGTGATTTGCCTATGCACAGCATGTTACATGCGTGATTTGCCTATGCACAGCATGTTACATGCGTGATTTGCCTATGCACAGCACGTTACATGCGTGATTTACCTACGCACAGCATGATGCATGTGTGCCTATGGACAGCATATTGCATGCGAGATTTGCCTATGCACAGCAAGGTCCAAGGTGTGGTTAGCACACGTGTGTCCCCCCCGGTAAATCGATCCTCTCATCCTGATGTTTCCTTCCCTTCCCCAACCCCTCGTCTCCCCCCTATCTCTATCCTCTCCTGCTCATGTTTCCAACCCTCATTTGCCCCCTCCATTCCATCCGCACTCTCTCCCCAACTGCAACTGCACGCGCTTTACAAGGGGCAGCTGGCCAAAGCCGCTCTACCTGTCTCCTGAAACTCCCTCTTCTCTTCCCCCCAACACCCCACCCCCCCCCCAACCCCATCCTCCCCTTCCTCCCCCATTCCAGCACTCTCGCCCCTTCCGCACGTGCTTCACCAGGGGTGGGGGGAGGACGGCAGCAGTGGGGGACCTAGGCAGGGTGGAGATTTTTGTCCTATTTGTGTGTGCGGACGAGCAGGGGAGAGGGCTGACTGAACAGCAGTCCAGGGATGGGGAGGAGGTGCGGGCGAAGCTGAGGGCGTTGTTTGACGACTGGCCCGCGTACCGGGAGGTTATTGAGGTGGGTGGCTTTTATATCGATTAGCCGGGATGTGACATAGGTGGCTGGGTGCGTGCTTTGAAAATAACTCAGCAAACGAAGAGGTGCAGGCGAAGCTGCGGGCGCTGTTTGATGACTGGCCCGCGTACTGGGAGGTTATTGAGGTGGGTGCACTGCGTAAGAGGTGTGATCGAGGTAGGTAAGTGACTCCTTAAGTCGATTCAACCAGACAGGAGGTGCGTTGGAAGCTGCGGGCGCTGTTTGATGACTGGCCTGCATGCCGGGAGGATATCGAGGTGAGTGAACTGTGCACTGGATGTGGTGGATGGAGGTAGGTCGGTGCCTCCTTTACAGTCGACTCAAAGGTAGACGAGAAGGAGGGGAATCTGAGGGCGCTATTAGCAAATTGGCCTGTGTATGGGGATGTAATCGAGGCCTGTGGTGTGGGTGCCCTCCCCCGCACACTTATTTGAGTCTTCTGTGACAGTGCCATATTAAAATCGTATCGAAAGCCCACTGTTTTCAACCTTCATTGAAATCTTTATCAAAGTTGATCAGGCTCAGGTGCCACCTTCCCTTTCTTGGCCACTCATTCCTCTCCCTCCCTCCTACCAGGTCGTCCCCCCTGACATGTTTCTCGAGCGCAGAGTGCTGGACGTTCCTCTACTCCCCCGCTGGCGCAACGGACGCATCCTCGTCTTTGGAGGTACTCTGGCTTGATGTTAGCACATCTTTTGCGTGGCCCTTGCGCTCGGTCCACAGCTTGGCTTGGCGTATCGAGAGAGGTGCTCAGGGCTTAGGGCCGCTGCAGACTACTTTTGAGGCGCATCCGCAGTAGGGAGAGGTGCTGTTGCCAGGAACCCAGCAAGCTGGCATGGCTGGGCTGCATGCTGCCTGCATGCTGCCTGCCTGCCTTCACCAAACTCCGATTTCAGGACTCTGTGTGCTGTGTGAATGTGGCTGGGCAGCTCTTGTAGCACCAAGCCAAAGACGCAGCATGGTTGACTTTTGGGTCAACTCGAGAATCACCTACTGTGTGCAGCGACGGCGCATGCTGTGCCGGCAACACTGGGCCAGAGATGCAGCGAAGTCATGGGGGGTGTGCTGTGCTGTGGAGAACGCTGAAGAGCAATCTGCCTCCTCTCCATTCACTTGCTCACACCCCGTTCTCGCTCCCATCTACATCTCCCGAACCATCCATGCTTTTGAGTCGACTCAAAAGCACACCCCGTTCTGGCTCCCATCTACATCTCCCGAACCATCCATGCTTTTGAGTCGACTCAAAAGCACACCCCGTTCTCGCTCCCATCTACATCTCCCGAACCATCCATGCTTTTGAGTCGACTCAAAAGCACACCCCGTTCTCGCTCCCATCTACATCTCCCGAACCATCCATGCCAACCAGATGCAGCGCATGCCGTGCTGCCAACTTTGGTCCAGGGCAGCAGCATGGCTATAGAATAGTCCGTCTGCCCATGGGAGACTGCTGAGAACCATCCGCCTTGCCACCTCGTCCCCTCTGACATCAGTTAGATTTTTAGAACTCCTAAAGAACCTTCGAGGATCCTCAAGAACAAAAAACTGAGATTTCCCTCCCGACGTCGTCCCCATCAGCATTCCTTCCCAACCTTTCCAACCAGATGCCGCGCACGCCGTGCCGCCATCATTGGGCTAGGGCTGGGGGGGGTGCACTGTCTCCTCATGGGGGAGGCACTATCAAGGCCATCTGCGTTTTCTCTTCTGTTCCCTACCAGATGCAGCGCACGCCGTGCCGCCAACGCTGGGGCAGGGCAGCAGCATGGCCATGGAGGATGCCCTGGAGCTGGCGAGACAAGTGGTCATGGACCACCCTTCCCTTGAGTACGTGGCTCAGCATGCCATGCCTTGCCATGCCATGCCATGCCATGCCATGCCATGCCATGCCTTACCATGCCTTACCATGCCTTACCATGGCGTGCTCGTCATGCGTGTGTGATTCACTCATGCAGCAAACACAGACATTCCTCTCTGGGGCTGGTAAGTTGTTTTTTAAGAATTCTCAAAGACATTCCTCTCTGGGGCTGTTCAGGCTATGGCATGGGCACACACGAGGCAAGGCTGTAGCACAGGCACACGAGGCAAGGCTGTAGCACAGGCACACGAGGCAAGGCTGTAGCACAGGCACACGAGGCAAGGCTATAGCACAGGCACACGAGGCAAGGCTGTAGCACAGGCACACGAGGCAAGGCTGTAGCACACGCACACGAAGCAAGGCTGTAGCACAGGCACACGAGTTAAGGCTGTAGCACAGGCACACGAGGCAAGGCTGTAGCACAGGCACAGAGGCAAGGCTGTAGCACAGGCACACGAGGCAAGGCTGTAGCACAGGCACACGAGGCAGGGCTGTAGCACAGGCACACGAGGCAAGGCTGTAGCACAGGCACACGAGGCAAGGCTGCACCATACCCCCATTGCCGTTAGGGTACCTTTGTTTGCCCTCCTTAGCCCTCACAATCCGTTCTGCCCTCCTTAGCCCTCACTATCCCTTCTGCCCTCCTTAGCCCTCACAGTCCCGTCTGCCCTCCTTAGCCCTCACTCTACAGGGCGGCACTGGATATTTTGAGAATCCTAAAAAATACTCTACAGGGCGGCACTAGACGCATTTGAGGCCGAGAGTGCGCCGCGGATGGCAGAGGCGAGTGCAGCCATGGCCGGCCAGGCGTACAGCAAGGAGACACAGCCCAATGACCTTTTGGCCTGCCCTCACCCACTTTCTCGCACACCCTCACCCACCCAACAGGGCAGCACTGGACGCTTTTGAGGCTGAGAGGGCGCCGCGTGTGGCGTGGGTGGCAGAGGCGAGTGCAGCCGTGGCAGGCCAGGCGTACAGCAAGGACAGAGACCCCAATGCGCCCGCAGAGGAGTCAGTCAACCCAGAAGCTGCGTTCAGCCATGATCGGAACACTAGTGCAAGCAGCAACGGCAGTGGTGGCAATAGCAATGGTAACAGTGAGGGTGATGTCACATACCCTATCTCCAACTTGTACAATTATGAGCGCCTGCGATCGCCCCTATTGTCGCCGCCATGGGCCAGTAAGAGGTGAACTGGCAGTCCTCATGATGGTAGAGGCGAGTGCAGCACTGGCAGTCTGGCAGGCCAGGCGTACAGCAAGCAGCGTGACCCCAATGCGCCCGCAGAGGAGTCAGTCAACCCAGAAGCTGCGTTCAGCTGTGTTCAGGACACTTGTGCAACTAGCAAGGGCGGCGGTAACAGTGAGGGCGATGTTACAGATGCTATCGATGACTTGTACTACTATGAGCGCCTACAATCACCCCTACTGTCACCGCCATGGGCCTGTAAAGGATGAGTTATCGCAATGCTTGGGATTGTTAGAGATTAATAATGTGTTGGAATTATAAGCTAGTTTGAGTTGCTCCAAAAAACAGATTATAGTTGAACAATATTGTAGGTGTGGTTTGTGCCAGAATACCGAGATGAACTCTAGCAAGCGGATACAGGGTGATGTCAGGGTTTGGTCTTGTACTCTCTAAGAGCATGAACCTGCCAAGCCTAAAACTATACATGCTATGCTTATGTATAAGTTGACACATCCCCTAGGCTAGACAAGGGGCAGTGCCTAGCAAGAGGCACGCAGCGTAGGGCGCCAGAGGCACGAACATGAGTGAGGCAGCCCCAGACGTGGAACGCAGACGCGTCACCAGGGGACCCGGTCGAGAGGAGGGTCGGCGAAACCTGCGGCTGCTGAGGGTGAGGCCACAAGTTAAGCTGGTGAGCTACGTAGCGAACTACGAACGGCCACAGAAAATGGGGTGCACCGGCATGGATCATGGAGGTACGAGCCACCTCCATGACCAAACCGATGCGTCGCTCAGCGACCCCATTCTGCTGTGGGGAGTCCGGCAAGGTGAACGTCTGGGTGATGCCCTCCGCACGACAGAAGCGACCAAGGCGGCTAGAGGCGAACTCGCCACCACGGTCAGAGTGAAGACGCAACACAGGGAGACCTCGGTGAACATGCGCAGAGACAAGCCACGGGATAAGAACGTCAGGCACATCGGCCTTTCGCTCCAGGGGAAAGACGGTAGTGTAGCGTATGTGGTTGTCGACAAGCACTAGGAAGTAGCGCTCTCAACGCGGCCCATGGACGGGGGCGGGGCCCCAGATATCCATGTGCAGGGTCTGCTGCGGTGCGGTGGTGAGGGGGAACGAGGAGGAGTGAGGGGCACGGCGGAGCTGGCCCTCGACGCAGGGCGTGCACGGCGGCGCTGGTGAGGAGGGTAGCACGGGGAATCGACTCAGGGAGACATAAGACAAGACCATGCTCAGACATGTGACAGAGACGTGTGAGGGCAGGGTGACCTATACGGTGGTGCCACAGAAGCGTGGGGTGAGTAAGCGACCGACGCGAGCAAGCCGCAGCAATCTGAGTAGACGCAGACATTTGGGGAGATGTCCCAACCAGGGGGGACGCGGTGTCCAGCGTGAACAGGCCAGACACCAGGTCCCGGGGGAACATGGTGAGGGGAGCGCAAGTGGCGGCCTCGGTACAGATAGCGTACCGCTCGTGACCAGGGAACGTAGTGGTGATGCCAAGGTCCTGGAGGCAGCCGACACCAACTACTGTAGGTTCCTAGAGAACGAGGGGATGTGCAGGCCTGTAAGGGAGCCCGAAGGAACCGCCAAACAGGGAAGGGTGGTGGAGCTACGAGCGACTACAGGACCTAAGGAAGGGTCTGCAGGGCAACAGTGGCAGGAGCGGCAAGCGGCGTAAACGTACTGGAGTTCCGAAAAAAACACCGGGAAGCACCGGAGTCCAGGGTGAAGGAGAGCGCGGCAGTGGCAGCAGGGGTAGGAGGAGCGAGGGTGGAGCCAAGGCTAAACAAAGCAGGGGATCCTATTCCTGACACAGTAGGAGAGCCTACACTAGGCACACTGGGCATACCTACACTAAGCAACAAGGGGTAATAGGAACCATTCACTTTTGAGTCATCGACATACAGCACATACAAATCAGAGCTCATCTCGTTCATATCCATATCAAAGATCCTAACACCACGGCGGAGCAGACTGTGCCAGTCAGGGAGGTCTGGCGCTGGGCCAAAGCGGAGACGAAACAGGTTGTCTAGGCGACTGAAACAACGAGTGGGGGTATGGCCGCACACGAGGCCGCGGCGAGGACCGGTCTGGAGCTGGTGCTGGCAGTGCCCATCACTGGGACCACCACCCGACGTCACGCTGTGCCCACAACCACTGCGACCACCTCCATCACGGGCGCCAGGCCACCCGGGCGGGAGACGACCTACCCGCTGCTGCTGATGCTGCTGCGGCTGCTGGTGCAGCTGCTGCTACTGGTCCAGCTGCGGCGCCTGCTGCTGCTGCTGGGGCTGCTGCTCCGAGGCACCAGCCCCAGCCCCCTCGTCATTACTACCAGCAGACAAACCTCCTCCGCCACCACCTCCACCCCCTCCTCCGTTACCTCCGCCGCGCCCAGCCTTAGGGTGGCGACCCTTACCTGGACGAAACTGCGTTGCGACAGCCGTGACGACTATCTCCGCAGCAGGGGCTGTTCAGCGACGGCAGCATTACTGTCAGAGTAAGCACACTGAGCAGGGGCACAGCCTTGAAAGATAGTGACCGGCACAGTACCGCTAGACTGGGCGATAGAGCGCTGACGAGTCTCTATGGCAGACAAGGTGTCGACAAAGTCATTGAGGGTGAGGTCAGCGGGGTGGAGACTAAGAAAGCGATCATGGGTGGTAGTAAGGCGGACAGGGAGGCGGGTGGCAAGCAGGTAGAGGGTAGAGCAGATGGGGGGCTGAAACACACGACGCTGGGCCTCAGTGCAGGCAGCGCGCCAGGTCGTGTCTAGCATGCGGAAGTGGGTGGCCAGGTCAGCGAAAGTGGAGAAAGACGCGAGATCAGATCAGAGCATGGGCAGGATCAGGCCACAAACGGAGGCAGAGGGTGGGGTGGAATAGCACGTGACAACAGCCTCTAGGAAATCTTGCGCGGTCCTGACCGACCTAAAGCGGGTGCGCTCAGACAGGGGGAGGGATTGACTAATCGTGAGATGTGCGACATCGTCACGCGACAACCAGACAGCACGGGCAAGGGCAGCAGCGGCAGCGGACTCACGGTCAGCAGACATGGGGTGAGCAAGTAGAGCAGCAGGGGGGTCAGGTCAGGGGAGCGTACCATCGATGTGGATGGCCAGGGATTGGCCGTCCTGCTGCTGACCAGTGAGGTGATGGCAGAGGTCGACGAGCCACGTGTCGAACTCGATTGGCTGACCCTCCGCGTCAAAGCGCAGGACCGAGTCCGCCATCATAGTCGCTGCAGCAATGGAAATGCGGTAGTGGGCTGTGCTGAGTGACAGAGTGCGGCGGGAAGTAGTGGTGTGTGGTGCGGGGCGGTGTAGTGCGATAGACCGCGGTAGAGTGAGGTGCAGTACGGTAGGGTGCGGTGCAGTGCGGTGTAGGGCGGTGCAGTGCAGTGCAGGGTGGTGCAGTGCGGTGCAGTGTGGTGGAGTGGGCCGATGACGCGACTTGGGGGGGGCAACAGGGGCAACTGAGGGACGGGGCCGCGAGGAGGCTGGGCGGCAAAGAAGTGGGGTGGCTGGTCAACAGGAGCCGCGTGGCTGCTAGGAGATGGGGCTGCGGCCGGCGAGGCGACGGGGCTGGCTAGGCGGCGAGGTGACGGGGCCGGCTAGGCGGCAAGGCCAGCTAGGCTACAGGGCCGGCTGAGAAACGGGGCCGGCTAGGCGACAGGGCCGGCTAGGCGACGGGGCCAGCTAGGCGACGGGGCCGTCTAGGCGACGGGGCCGGCTTGGCGACGGGGCCGGCTGGGCGACGAGGCCGGCTAGGTGACAGAGTCGGCTGGGCAACGGGGCCGACTAGGCGACGGGGCCAGCTAGGCGACGGGGCCGGCGAGGCGACGGGGCCGGCTAGGCGACCGGGCCGACTAGGCGACGGGGCCAGGTGGGCGACGGGGCCGGCTATGTGACCGGGCCGGCTGGGCGACGGGGCCGGCTGGGCGATGGGGCCGGCTGGGCGACGAGGGCGGCTGGGCGACGAGGCCGACTAGGTGACGGGGCCGGCTTGGCGACAGGGTCAGCTAGGCGACGGGGCCGTCTAGGCGACGAGGCCGGCTAGGCAATGGGGGGAGCTAGGTGCTAGGTGACGGGGGCCCCTGATGGATGGGCAAGCATGGGCGGGAGGGCGACGGGGCGGCTAGGACCTATGGCGGAAGCACTGGTGGGCGAGAGGGACCTCACCTACTCATGATACCATATCAAAGGTAACGAATGACTAGAATCATGACATATACGAGAATATAACCTAGTGGGTAGTACTTTCTAAGGCACAATTCTGTGTAGTCTATAACAACATACAAGGATATGTTTGACAAAGATATCAGCTGTGTTGGCACCGGAGGCTAAGTGTACTATGCGTGCCTGGCCGCGCTACTGTAGCTCGCACAGGAGGAAGTACCGCTGCTGGATGTGCTTCGCCCTGCCCTCTAGTCGAGGCTCCAGACACAGGAGGAGCATGGCCCTATTGTCAGTGTACAAGACCAGGGTAGAGCTAGGCCGCTCACCTAAGTTAGTGAGCAGAAACGTCAGCCAGGAGAGCTCCTGTGCCACCATGGCACCAGCGTAAATCTCAGCCTCACAGCTGGACTGTGCAACAGACGAGGAGCGGGTGGACCTCTACAAGATAGCGCCTGCACCAATGCTAAAGCAGTAGCCCTGAGTGGACCGGAGCGTCTAAGCGTCGTCCGCCCATGAAGCGTCTGTGTGTGCTGTGAGAACCACTTGCCTGCGTCCTCCCAGCACTAGGCCCATGCCTGGTGTACTTGCTAGATATCGCAACACCCTCTTGGCAGCCGACCAGTGCTTAGTTTGGTGTCTGTCTGTTGCACTAAAGTGTGCGAGGATACTAAGAGGGTATGCGAGATATGGAGGAGTGCAAGTCATCAGGTAGATCGGGCAGCCCACAAGCTCTGCATACAGACCACTAGGCTCGACCGGCTTGTCAGGGACTGGAGCCGAGAGCCTGCGATCTACTGGCAGAGGGGTAGGCTGTGCGGAGGAGAACTGGAGGCCGAATCTCTGAAGGACCTGATGCACCAAGTGTGACTTGTGCACGCTGCTCTATCCCTGGAGATCTGTAACCGACGCAGGCCAAGAGCTATCCATATGACATGAGGCTGCATGCATTCTAGTGGGGCCGTGTTCGAGAAGCCTATTTCTTCAGAGAGCAGGGTGGGTGGTTGAGCCGTGAAATGGATCACTCGCGGCTGCTGATCAGATGGTTGGTCACTTTTGTTATCGCCCTCCCCTCCTCTTCCCCGCTCTGCGCCATTCATGACTCCTTGTCAGACCTTGGGAACCCCTAGGACATTTGCACATTTGGGTGGGCGCAGCTCGGTGCCCGGGCCTCTTGCCAGTGCTTGCTTTGACAGTTGTGGCCATGGATAGTGTTTGTACAACAAGGGTATTTTCCCTTTTGCACTTATTCCTTGTGCAATTAGAGCTTGTGTACCAAACGGTTAATGTTTTGGCTGATAATTGCAGGTGCTGGTTGTCAAGAAACATATATTGCTATATACTCATACCTAGTTAAATTAGTTATGTTTGTTATATAGCCTAGTTAGGTCAGCTCTTAGATGGGATAACACTCACTACTTGTATCTCCCCTCTCCTCTTCCTAGTCACACTTTTCCTTTTGCTACTTTCACACGGTATAGAGCTACTCTTTCACCTTGCGTCACGCTTCCGCCGTTACCATAGCTTTTTTATTTTCGTTTTTTTTGCTTTTCTTTTCTTTTCTTTTCTTGCGCAAATCTTGCTCTCCAATCTTGCGCTCTGTAGGACCTGAAGGACCTAGCTTGGAAGAGAAAAGATTGAATAGAGTAGGGAGCCAAGAGGCTCTTTTGTACAAAACAAGGAGCAAGGAAGAGTTGGAAGGGAAGCTCTCCTATTGGCCTTAAAGTGGACCAATGGGAGAGGTTGCTTGTAGGGCAAGCAACCACAAAGTGTGGTGCTCTCCGATTGGCCACAATGTGGACCAATGAGAGAGATTGCTTGGAAGGCAAGCAACCACAAAGTGTGGTGCTTGGTAATTGGTTGGTTCCTAGGACCAAGGACCATTTGGTTGGAATAGTGCCAACCAAATGTCTAGGACCAAATCCAATCTTGACCAACCCAAATGTGGGGTTGGTTAACCCAACCAAAAACCCCCCAATAATTATAATGACTACACCTCCTAATCTAGGCATGCATGTTGTATAGATATATATTTTACAACACAACCCCCCAACATGCATAAGACTAGAGGGCTTGAATCAGGAGGCGGACGAGGGAACGGGGGGAGCGAGTCCAAGAAGGCGAAGGAGGGAGGAGTGGGTGGCGTGGGGGAGGGCTTTGGTGAAGATGTCGGCAAGATTGTCAGCAGAGTCAATCTTGCCCAGCTGGAGGTGGCCACCCTTCACAAGCTCGCGAATATAGTAGTGGCGAAGCTCAATGTGCTTGGAGCGCCCGTGGAACACAGCATCCTTCGTGAGGTGGATGGTGCTGGCGTTGTCGCACCAGATGGTGGGACAGCGCTGAGGGGCACCGAGCTCCTCAAGAAGGAAGGAGAGTCAGCGGGCCCCCTGTGCAGCCATGGTAGCGGCATACAGCTCTGCTTCGCAGGAGGAGAGGGCAATGGAGCGCCAGCTGATGAGGCCGCTGCCAAGGGAGAAGCCATAGCCCTGAGAGGAACGGCGGTTAGGCCTAGAGTCAGCCCAGGAGGAATCAGAGTAGCCAGTGAGGAGGGGAGGGGAAGGGCCGCCAAGGGTAAGGACGTAGTCCTTGGTCCCCCGGAGGTAGCGGAGGACACGCTTGGCCGCTTGCCAGTGGGCGGCATCATGCTTGCCGGTACCAATGAAGCGGGCCAAAACGCTGATGGGGTATGCCAGGTCAGGGCGGGTGGAGACCATGGCATACATGAGAGAGCCGATGAGCTCAGCGTAGGGGTGGGAGGAGGAGGAGGGGGAGGTGAGGGGAGTGAGGTGGTTCCCAACAGGAAGAGGGGTGACCTGAGGGGTGCCTCGAGCCATGTCGAACCGCTCCAAGACCTGCTGCAGGTAGTGGCCCTGGGAGAGGGAGATGGTGCGAGCAGCACGGTCGCGGGTAGTCTCCATGCCGAGATAGTGCTGCAGCTCCCCTAGATCCTTACACTTGAGCCAGCTGCCAAGCTCACGCTTGACGCGCTTGAGCTCGGCGGAGTCGGCAGTGATGAGGATCATATCGTCGACATAGATGAGGATGTAGAAGGGAGAGGGGGAGGTGCGGAGGAAGAGGCTGGGGTCGGCGCGGGAGGTGCTGAAGCCAAGCTCGGCGAGGGTGGCAGCAAGCTTGGCATGCCACTCCCTTGGTGCCTGCTTGAGCCCATAGACCGGCCGACGCAGCTGCCTGACAGAGTCAGAAGGAAAGGGGAAGTGGAAGCCTGCAGGACGCTCCATGTAAATGAGCTCGCGCAAGACCCCCTGAAGGAATGCGTTGGAGACGTCCATGGAGTGAATCTCCATGTTGAGGCAAGCGGCGAGGTCGAGGACTGCGCAAATGGTAGCGGGCTTGGCGGTGGGAGAGAAGGTGTCGAAGAAGTCGACAGCGTAGCGCTGGGTGAAGCCCTTGGCGACGTAGCGGGCCTTGTAGACCGGCGGCTCGCCAGGAAGCTGCTTCACCCGAAACACCCACTTCCCTTTGACCACGTTCGTGGTAGAGGGAGGGCGGGGCACATCCACAAAGGAGGAGTTGGCAATAAACGCCTCCAACTCCTTGAGGATGGCCGCGAGCTAGAGGTGAGCGTCAGGGCACGCCATGGCCTCCTCGTAATTGACAGGGACGAAGATGGTGGGGGCGGAGGAGAAGGCGAAGACTGGTGTGCCGCTGAGGGCAGGAGAGATGGGTAGGAGGGCTGGATCATGCAGGTGGAGGTTGAGGAACTCCTCATGGGAGTCCTCGAGGAGGGAGGAGTGGAAAATGAATGGGAGGACTGCAGCTGCTGCTGCTGCTACTGCTGAGGATGCATCTGCTGCTGCTACTGCTGAGGCGGCTGCTACTGCTGCATCTGCTGCCGCCGCTGCTGCTGCTGCGTGTGAAGGCGATGAAGGAGCGACAGCTGCTGCTGCTGGTGCTGCTGCGGTGGGTGGAACTGCTGCTGCAGCTATAGCTGCTGCTGGTGGGACTGCTGTACTGGAGCTCGACGGCAGGGTTGGGCTAGTGTTTTGTTGTAAGACTGTCTGAAAAAGGAGGTCCATGAGAGGGGAGAGAGGAGGCAAGGTAGAGGAAGAGAGGATAACAGGAGGCGGGGCACCTAGGACTGCGTCACGCGACCTGGTGTGGGGATACCGGATAAGGATGGAGCGGGTGGGACGCAGGGGGGGAGGGGGTCGCGGGGGAGAGGGGGGAGGAGGGGAGGGGGGAGGAGGGGAGGGGGGAGGATGGGAGGGAGCGGAGGGGGAGGAGTGGGACGGGGAGGCGGGGGAAAAAAAAGGGTCAGGGTTAAATATGTCACCAGAGGAGGGGGGAGCACTAGGGACCGAGGCGGCGGGGAATGGAGGAGGTGGAGCGGGGGGGAGGATGGGAGGGGGAGGGAGAAGAGGGGATGGGATAGTGTCGGACCAGTTGAGGGGCCTGGGAGCAGGGGCGAGAGGGTCAGTGGGGGGAGGAGTGGAATAGTAGGGTGTGGACTCATCAAAGACTACATCCCGACTGCGAAGGAAACGACCTGAGGGGGGGTGAAGGAAAAGGGATTATGACCAAGGAAGATGCAGGGGAGGGTACGGGAGGCGAGCTTTCCCATGGTGCGGGGGCGGTCCACAGGGTGAATGAGGACATACGCCCTGGAGCCCCACACACGGAGGGAGGAGACGTTAGGCTTGGCCGATGTCCAGAGCTCGGTGGGAGTGGTGGAGGGAAGGATAGGGTGGGGGTACAGGTTAGTAAGGAGGGTGGCGTGAAGGAGGGCATAGCCCCACAGAGAAGGGGGGTAAGAGGCATGGACGAGGAGACACCGAGCAATCTTGGTGATCTCCCGAACACGGCTCTCGGCCACACCATTCTGTTGGGGGGAGTGGGGGAGGGTGTGAGTCTGGCGAATGCCATGAAGCTCACAGTAGGAGGCTACCTGACGATTAAGGAATTCGCCACCGCCATCAGAGTGAAGGCAGCGCACAGGGCGGTCAAAATGGGTGCTCGCCTGCTTGAGCCAGGCGATGATCGCAGCCGGAGCGTCACCCTTCGAGCGAAGAAGGGAGACGGACTAATATCGGCTGTGATTATCGACCAGAACAAGCATGTAGCGATGGCCATGGCGGGAAGGGGAGGGGTTGGGGCCCCAGAGGTCCATGTGAACAAGATCAAGCGGCTGAGCAGCAGCGGAGGGGGAACTCCGATGCGGCAGCTGCTTGAGCTTGCTCTGGACACAGACGGAGCAGGGAGGGGCAAGGGAGGGAGGGAGGGGAGGGAGGGTGAGGGGAAGACCTCGAAGGAGACCTGAGGAGACGGTCGAGCGGAGGGTGGCAAAGTTGGGGTGACCAAGCCTGTGGTGGAGGAGGACGGTGGGATGGGAGAGGGATCGACAGGAGTAGATTGGGTCAGGGGGGAGGGGGGGAATGGTTGGGTTAGAAGGAGGGAGAGGAGGGGGAGGGATGTGAGGTGGGGGGAGGGAGCGGGAGACTGCCTGGGCAGAGGGAAGACGAGGAACTCGAAGGGTTTATAGGCGGGAGCGAGGACAAAAGGGAATACGGGAGAGGAGGCGACCTGTGGGATGGTATAGGAGGCAGTGATTAGCGCGACCTGGGAAGACGGTGGTGATACCGGCCTGCTGCAGGGATCGCTGGGAGAGGAGGTTAGTACGGAGGGAGGGGATGTGTAAACCAGTGACGGTACCTGAGGGGAAGAGGGGACAGGGGAGGGTAGAGGTGTGGCGACAGGGAATAGAGAAGCTGGAATCGGCACCAAGGAGAGAGGTGGGGGCTGGGAGAGGGTGAAGGGTACCAGCATCACGAAGGACGGACTCGGTGGCTCCACTGTCAAGGACAAAGTCCAGCGTGGTGGAGGGAGGAGGATGTGGGGGAGGAGGTGGGACGGAGTACTGAATCACATTCTCATTAATAGCAGCCGAATACATAGAAGGGGCGGGGGTTCCAGCCTGACTAACCATGCCAACAAAACCAGAGGAGGGGAAGGAGTCACACTGCCTGTGGCTGAGGGCGCGGGAGACGCGCCCGAGAGGTGAGCTGCGGAAGCGGCGGTGCCGGTGGTCCAAGTGGGGTAGGGCTGCTGGGGGGAAGCCATAGGAGGAGGTGCAAGGGGGAGCTGCGACTGGAGGTCAAGCTGCTGCTGGAGCTGCTGGAGCTGCTGCTGAACTGGGAGAAGAGGTGCTGCTGCCCCTGCTGCTGCTGCTGCTGGAACTGCTGCTGTTGCTGCTGAAACGGCTATGGCAAGATCTGCTGCGGAGTCTGCTGCTGCTGCTGTTACTAAGAGACGGCCTGGTGGGCCAAGGGGGAGGAGACGGGCTGAAAAAGAGGGGAGGTACGAACCTCCTGAGGAGTGGGGCGAGGGGAGAGGGAGGACCAGCGGGGGGGGGTGCCGGTGTTGCCGCGGGCAAACCACTCATCACTGAGTGCTTTGAAGCAAGAATCAGTGGCATGAGTGGTCTGGCCGCAGCGCTGATCCCGCGTGGGGCCATAGCGAGGGAGATACTGGCAAGGAGGAAAGGCGGCTGCTGCACCACGTCCTGCACCATTGCTACCACGACCCGCGCCACCACCACGACCAGCGCCACGCCCACCCCCACGCCCTCCCCTGGTGTTGCGCTGCTAAGCAACAGCGGCACTGGAGGAGGAATGGCGCAAGAGGTCGGCCTCGGTGGTGATAATCCACTGGGCGACTTCAGCCGGGGTGATGCGCTTGTCGATCAGCTGCATGTAGGCGATCTTATGGGTGTCGAAGGCAAAAGTCAAGCCTTCAAGGAGATGGCAGCACAGCACTGGGTCCGGGTACGGCACGCCAAGAGCCGCCAGGCGCCGAGCGAGGTCGAGGATGCGACGCGTGAAGGCAGCTGCGCCGGTAGTAGAGTCCATGGTGAGGCTCTGGAACTCCTTGATGAGGGAGTAGAGGGTGGCGATGTCCTGCCGATCATAGAGATCGGTGAGGAGCCGCCAGAGGTGGGAGGAGGAGGGGGGAGCAAGCTCGCGCTTGAGGGTGGGAGGAATGGTGGCGAGGAGGATGGTGAGCGCGCGCCGGTCAGCGACACGCCAGGCAGCAAGGTCGGTGATGTATGCGCGCTCGCGCCTGACGTACTCCGCGAGCGCCATCTCATACGTGTTGTAGGCGGCAGTGGCGGCGTCATGCTCGGCGCGGGAAGCCTCGAAGAGCAGCTGCTGGCGGACGTGGTCGGTGAGGCCGGCACGGTAGGTGCGGATGGCGGTCTCGGAGCTCTGAGGGTCGTTGACGTCAGGGGCGAAGGTTGGAGGATCGCCGGGGCTGACAGGAGGATCGCCAGGAGGAGGAGGTGCAGGGCCCGCGGGAGCATCCGGCTGGGCAGGCTGAAGACCGCGCTCCTCGAGATGGACAATGGCTTTCAGGTTGTAGCCGTTGACCGTCACCGAGGAGAGAAGCACCGTGGCGGTTTGGGCATAGGTATGCCAATTGACCGCGGTGTTGTCGGGCAGCAGCTCAAGAGCGTCGACGGAGGTAAGGTCCACCGAGGAATCGGATGCCATTGAGGAGGAGGAGGGGAAGGAAGGGGGGGGGGGGAGGAGGAAAAGGAAAGGAGGAGGAAAAGGAAAGGAGCAGGAAAAGGAAAGGAGCAAGAAAAGGAAAAGGAGGAGGAGAAGGGGGAGGGAGGAGAAGGATAGGTGCGCGGAGCGCAGCTCTTAAGTCGCCGAAATGGCGCGACGAACGGGTGCACGCGACGGCGGAATCGACGACGGGCGGGCGCACGCAACGGAGAAATCGGCCGACGGCCGTGCGCGCACGGCGGCAGAAAGGCAACGGGCGTGGTGGGAGGATGTGTCGACGGGCGTGTGCGGGAGCCGTGATGGACGGGCGCGCAGAGAGCGCGATGGACGGGTGCGCGCAAACGCGGAGGGCGCGCAACGGGAGGGCGCGACGGGAGGGCACGACGACGGGCCGCGCGACGGAGGAGTGCACCAACAGGCGCAGTAGGAGGATGCGACGGCCAGAAGCGCGTCGTCAGGCGCGACGGGAGGCGCATGACGGAAGGGAGAGCGGGCGCGGCAAAAGGCGCGCGACGGGAGGAAGAGCGGGCGCGACAGAATAGCGCGGCGAGAGAGGGCGCACGGGGGGCGCGGGAAGTAGCCTAAGGAAGGGCTAGACTTCAAAGACGAGGAGGGATGGCATAGGGCCGTGCTAGTTAGGATCGACTAGAGGTGGCGTGAGCCATTGTGGCTCTGAATACCATGAAGGACCTAGCTTGGAAGAGAAAAGATTGAAGAGAGTAGGGAGCCAAGAGGCTCTTTTGTACAAAACAAGGAGCAAGGAAGAGTTGGAAGGGAAGCTCTCCTATTGGCCATAAAGTGGACCAATTGGAGAGGTTGCTTGTAGGGCAAGCAACCACAAAGTGTGGTGCTCTCCGATTGGCCACAATGTGGACCAATGAGAGAGATTGCTTGGAAGGCAAGCAACCACAAAGTGTGGTGCTTGGTGATTGGTTGGTTCCTAGGACCAAGGACCATTTGGTTGGAATAGTGCCAACCAAATGTCTAGGACCAAATCCAATCTTGACCAACCCAAATGTGGGGTTGGTCAACCCAACCAACAACCCCCCAATAATTATAATGACTACACCTCCTAATCTAGGCATGCATGTTGTATAGATATATATTTTACAACACGACCCCCCACCCCACCCCCCCGCCCCCCACAAGCATCCCCTCCGTTTCGTAAGCAGCCAGTCAGCTCGCATGCCAGCCAGCCAGCTAGCTCGCCAGTGCTAGCCGCGCCAGCCTGCCCGCCTGCCCTTAGCTTCTCAGTTCGCACCTGCTGGCCGCCACTAGCCTTTGCTCGACCCTCGTGTGCCTCGCACGTGCCTGCCCACCCGCAGTCGCCAGCTAGCTAGCCGCCAAACAGCTCGCCGCTGGCTCGCCGCCACCGCCCAGCTAGCCGCTAGCTCGCCACAGCCACAGCCGCCGCCAGCCAGCTCGCCGCAGGCTCGACGCCGCCAAACAACAGCTCGCTCATCGCGAGCTAGCCAGCTAGCCGCAGCGCTGCCAGCGAGCAGCTGCCAGCAGCCGCCAGCAAGCTTGCGGCCAGCAGCTGGCAGCCGCTGGCTGGCGGCTGCTGGCGGCTGTTAGGTGTTGAGCTAGCGGCAAGCTGGCAGTTGCTGGCGGCTAGCGGTGGCTGTTGGCGGCTAGCTAGTGGCTGCTGGTTGGTGGCAGTGGCTAGCGGCTTACTGGCTGGCGGCTACTGGCTGGCAAGAGAACGAGAGGCGAAAGGGACGTGGTTGCGCAAGGCGAAGGGGGTGTGACAGTGAAGTCGGGCCTCGAGTGGAGGCGAGTCCATGTGGGGCGACGATGGAGCAAGCGTTGGTGAGCGAGCAGGCCAGCAACTAGTGAGGTGCACAATCATGCTTTGTATCCTTTTGTATGTTGATGACTCTAGTGCTGCTGGTTCGTATTATCAACTTGTTTGTAGCCTAGGAGCCAATGCTGTGGGTAGTATAGGATCTCCAGCTGCGTTAGGCGTAGACTCTCCTGCTGCGTCAGGCATAGGATCTGTTAGAGATACTTCAGTGGACCCCGCTATGTCGGCCTTTCCTTTATCCTAGACTCTAGCACATCCCATTGCTTCTTTGGAGACAGTACTACTCTCACCCCACTTCGTGCATCTGTCCCCTTCGCACTAGCAGACTCTTAAGAAACAGCTATCGCACGCAGCGCCACCACTCTCCCCTGTCCAACTGTCTCGTCCATTGGCCGGCATATCCCCTCGTTTGCAAAGAACTTGGTGGGTCTCGGTCATCTTCAGGATCGAGGCGTCACCACTACATTCCCTTGTCGCGAGAGACACGCAGCTTGCACGGACGCAACCACCGGCTGCCACCTAGCCACTTTTGCGCGTGACCCAGCGACCTGAGTCCTAGTCCATTGCTACATTTGCTGAGGTCACCACGTCCTGCTCTTGTCACTCACTAGCCCACCCGACCCTTCTGTGGCACCACCGTTTAGGTCACCCTACACTCTTGCGTCCTAGGCACATATTCCAGCACGGTCTAGTCACTGGTCTCCCTGCGTCAGTAGTGCCAGTGTGCACCCCCTGCGTCAAGGGCCAGTAGCGCGTCGCCCCTCACTCCTCCTCTTCTTCTCCTACCAAAGCGCTGCGACAAAAATTGCACATGGATGTCTCGGGCCCTGCCCTAGTCCATGGTCTTAGCCGGGAGCACTACTTTCTCATCATCGTTGATGACTTATCGCGCTTCATCACAGTGTCCTCGTTGGAGCGGAAGGCCGACATGCCTACCATTCTCCTCCCGTGACTTCTTGTTGTTTGCGCTCACCACCGCCTACCTGTAGTTCGCTTATACACTGACCAAGATGGCGAGTTCGCCTCTGGCCATGTAGGACTGTTCTGTAGTGCGGAGGGCATCCGCCAAACGTACACACTGCTGGACCGCCCACATCAGAAGTGGGTCGCTGAGCAACACATCGGCTTGGCCATGGAGGTACAGTAGCTCGCATCTCCATGGTCCACGCTGGTGCACCCCATTATATGTGGCCGTTCGCGCTGCGCTACTCTGCTCACCATCTTAACCTATAGTCGCGCTCCCAGCGGCCGCAAGTTTCGCCAACCCTTCTCGGGAGCACGTCTCCTAGAAACGCGTTTGCGTTTCACGTCCTGGGCAGCCTTGCTCACATACGTGCCACTGGCGCATACAAGCTCTCAGCCCGCACCCCTTTTTATTTCTTCCTCGGGTTTCCGCTTGACGCCCCTCACTGGCTGGTCTACCACTTGGCACACCACTGATCCTACCGCTCTCGTGATGTTACATTCGACAAGACACTCCCCTACTGCAAGTGCTTCCCTCACCGCAGCACTCTTGTGCCTCCTCCCCCTCTCTTCCTTGCCTCTGCCTCACCTGCCGCGCCCCTCTCACCCCGCCCGGCCCCGCCTAGTGTCTCCCACGCCATTTCGTTCCCCTCGGTCGGGCCTGTGGGAAAGTCGGCTGACTTTGGGGGCCCAACTTCTGAAGGCACGCTTGCTGTCCTTGTGGCGCCTCCCCCATCCCCGGTACCCTAGACACCTCAGCCGCCTCCCCATTTGCCTCAGCAGCAATCGCAACCATCGCAGCAGACTCAACGGCCGCAGCAGCAGCAACAGGGGGTTTTGGAGGTGCTAGTTTCAGGGGTACTGGTTAAGGGGTTGCTGGCGTTGGAGGTGTTGGTGTTGGGGTTGATGGTTCTAGGGGTACGAGTTCAGGGGGTGTTGTCTCTAGGGGTGCTGGTTCTGTGGGTGGTGCGTCCGAGGCTGCTAGTCCTGGGGGTGCTATTTCGGAGAGTGCTGGTGGTAGCCGAGGTGCTGCTGGAGGTCTTGGATAGGACAGGGAGCAGCAGCAGTCGCAGCAGCAGGAGCAGCCGCAGTCTGCCCTTCTTCTCTTTGGTCTTTCCTCAGGTTCGCCTGACTTTGTTTACGGCCCGCTGTTCCCTCCCCTGGACTCCTCTCCAGCTCATTTTCCCCTGCGCTCTCCTCCGTCCCCTGACCTGTCCCCCGTCCTCCCTCATCTCTAGCCCCCCGTTCTTCCCCACTTGGTCCGTCAACCCTCTGGTGCTCGTCCTGTCTCTCCTCGTCCTAGTGTAAACCCTATGGTCCTTCGTTTGCGTGCTCCTCCAGTCCCAGTTCTTCCGTTACCTCCCCAGTCGTCGCTCCGTCATCCCTTGCTCCTCCCTCTTACTCTGCTCATAATGCTCGTCCAATCCCCTCGCACTTGCTTGCGCCCCTCGTCGCTATCCCTATTGCTCCTCTTGAGTCTGTCTTTGCGCTTGTCGCTGACTTCGCTGCTAGCCACCGCCTTGAATACGCTGCCGCTCTGGTCTATGGTACTGCCTGTCCTCCGTCTGTCGGGGGTGCACCTGCCCTTGGCAGTGACGTACTAGAGGACAGGCAGTACAAGTTGGCCTGCCTTGTTGCTGGTGTAACCCATCTCTGCTCCATGGTTGTATCCCTAGAGGGCGACTCAGACGCCCTCGACATCCCTCTCCCGCGCTCTTTGTTGAGGCGGTGTCGGGGCCCTGGGCAGCCCAGTGGATATATGCCATGGAGGTTGAGATGACATCCTACCGATCCACAGGCATTTACAGTGATGGAAACAATTGTCCTGATGTTTTGCATTAATTAGGGTTTTTGGGCTTTTCGACCATTGTACATAAACTCTTAATGTTTAATGGTGGTACGCCTTGGGAGGGGCACATAGTGGATGTGTTCACGGCACTAAAATCCATGATAGTACACAGGATCTAACCTAGTGCCAAAAGATATGCAAATAGTACATCCGGACAATTGTTTCCCATGACAAAGAGCAAACTTCCGAGCAGCGTTTCTAGTACCTAGTCAACCGACACTTGGCCTTGATCACCACCCGCACCCTCCTATGCATGTTATCTACGAGGTTAGTGCAAACCTTTACAGTGATCTTCTCGCACTCTTCCTGGACCCACGCTTTTGCATAAGGGGGTAAGCACTAGGAAAATCACCAAGGATTTGAGCGTATGCAAGAGTATGGTGCACGATTTCAGATTGAATGTTATCTCTAAGACTAGCCACGCTGATGTGTGGCCAAAGATGCCATAAGTCGATTGGTCTCGTCTTATCATGGATCGTCTTCATCGTACCGTTGTAGGTAAAAATTACGAGCAGAGTGGCGAAAACTAGCGTATCTGCCACGAAACTTAGGGTAACATAGCACGGTCGACAGTGCATCCTTGCACTATTAGAATTGCGCTAGGATGCATAGGTCTCGTCATGGTGCAGCAGTCGAAGAAGTCGCGACTGTCCAGAAAGAATATCCGGGTTGAGATCTGGTGAGGAAAAGGGTCACTCCAGTGTAACATACTCGTGTTCTCCAATCCATTCTTAGCCATGTGTCCCGCCTAAGCTTGGAATGGCTTGGAGAGCATGAGTTTGTAGCACTGGAGTGACCCTCTTCGTCACCAGACCTGAACCCGGATATTTTTCCCCACTAGTCAGGGCTTCTTCGACTGCTGCACCGTGACGAGACCCGTAGATTTTAATGCGATTCTATTAGTGAATGGGTGCTCAGTCGACCGTGCTATGTTACCCTAAGTTTCGCGGCGGACACGCTAGTTTTCGCCACTCTGCTCGTAATTTTACCCTACAACGGTACGAC